TGTTTGACCAATAAATTTAGAGAACACTTTTGAGAAGCAATTAATGTTCGGCCAAATAAATAATGTATTTTTTTCTCAAAGACGATATTTTTCAAAAAAATGCGTTTAGACAAAAGCTACTGTACTTCTTTTTAGCAATTAATAATAACTTACAATTTTTTTTAAAAAAATACACAAAACACTGCCAACTAGGTTTGAACTCTAGGTGGCTGCTACCTACACTCTATTCACTATTGAAGCACTTCACCAGCGAACCATCTGGAAATTTGTGTTAGGTGTTATTATCGTATAATATATATACAAATTATTTAATTTGTATGATAAATAAATAGATATATTGATTAAAATTTATTGATGAAGTAGTGTCAGATGACACCCCTTATCGTAAGGTGTGTCCACCCCTGCTTACCTATGTCGATTCAGATTAGTTGAGCTAGTATGATTAAATATAGAATAATTAAACTAAGTAATTTCCATGTCAACTCTTGTTTTTATATTTGTATACTATCATATAATAATAAATGCCACATGATTGTTTTCTAATTTTAAATCAGAAAATACTAATTTAGGATCAAAGGCAACTAATTAACTTTTTAAAAACAAAAATAAAATAAGTAATAATTAACAAAAAAAGACGAGTGGTTTTAAATAAAGTTAGGGGATCTTGGAATTGCTTTCCAAGTGGGAGGTAAACGCGTAGAAATTGACGTGCATAACATGCAAAAAAAAATAAAGTAGGTGAGATTTGGACTCTTATTTTTATAAAAAACGAAAAAACAAAAGAGAAGCTACGGACTCATATTTAACGACTTTGCTTTTCCATCTTATATCATATATATCTGTCTATTAGAGTCTGATTAATTCAAATTCGTGTTACGTAGGAATTTATTTGGCGAGGAAATCACTTTTTATAAGGATTTTTCTATAATCAGGCCTTGAACTCGAAACTCTGATTAAGAAAAAAAAATAGTATTAGTTATTGTACCGTATTCTTTGATAATGATATTTAACCACTTGTAAAATCATACTTCTTCCTTTAAAGAAATATCCAAAAGGTACATTGCAATTGCATAGCTCAGCCACTTGACTATATAGCGCGGGATTCCCTTGCTTTGTTGTATATGTCTTTTTATTTTTATTTTATTTGAATCTATAATTGTGATGATTGAATTTGAATAACTTTACATGTATATATAATTGGTTATCGATAATGAGCCTAATAATATTAACTTTATATTTATATTTAATTTAAGTCGTAAGAACAATTTACAATTAGTTATAAAATGTAATAATACATCATCAATAACATCAAAATAATTGGAAAGTTTGATCAAACCATAATTGTTTTTCGAAAGAGTTTTCTTAATTTATTGATCAAATAAAAATTGTTTTTACCAAAATTATTTCTTTTAAAACATTTTTCATGATAAGTTAATTTTGAAAGTTTGGTCAAACATGTTATTGGACAAAGATGTGTTAATGAATAGTGTCACGTACGATCTCATGAGATTATTTTATCTCACATTTTATATAAGATATAATTCCACCATTTTAATATAAATGATGAGATGAAATAATTCCGTAATTCGATAAAATCTCAAAACAAACATGAGATAAAGTTACCCAAATTTTGTCCCGAAATTAACTAACCAATACCTCAAACCAAATATAATAAATAAAGTTCATATCAAATTTTATCTCAAAACTATCATTCTTATCCCACGTACCAATAGAAACTTTTATGTGTGGTTAATATATATAATACACGTAACTGAATTTTCCTAGGGCACAACATATAATTTCTAACTCTCAATTAAGATGATTTAATATTATTGCATGAATTCACACATTGCATTTGGTGATGGATTTAGCTAGTCTTTAGTAGTGGATGAAAATCCCAATGTCTTCTACCTATATACTCCCTCCGTTCAGATTTACTTATCAAATTTTAATTTGATATATTTATTAAGAAAATAATTTTTGATATGTTGAGTTTATTATTTTACCTATGTTAGTTGATAGAGTCTCAAACATATTTACTTATTACATTTTTCAAAGACATTAATTAACTCAATGTTAATAAATTAAAAGTAAAAAAAAAAATTATCTTTTTTTTTAATTTATCAAAAATAACAAATAAAAATAAAATTAATTAGAAAATATTTGACAAGTAAATTTGAACGGAGGAAGTATTATATGTTTCAACCTATGCCACAGAAGTACAATATAAAGGCCGCCATGGTACTTTTTATCCACCAACTTTAAAGGTGTATGGTTGGTAAGAAATGAGTTATAATATAGTTTACTGGTTCGGTGAATTTAGAGTTGTGGTTCAAAACATATGTTTATTATAAAAAAAAAATATGGAATTATATTTAATTTTATGCAATAATAATTATGATTGTTTTGTGCAGTTTCATTTTAGATTATGAGGAACAAATTCTCATTTGCCACACACTTACCCTCTCACTTTATCACTAACCGTAGATGAAATTGTTTTTTTTTTTAATCAGAGATTTCAAATTCAAGTCCTATAAAAAAATATTGATAGGGTAGCTTCCTTTTCGAATGGAATTATATACGGTGCGAATTTAAAATTATTAAAATCTAACGTGAATATCAGACACGGACGGAAAGAGAAAAAAACATTAAAACTTTCACTTTTTTACTTTTGAAAATTTCAAGACAATACATCAACGTCAATAGTTAAGACTATTCTAATTAAATCGAATAGTATTGAGACTTTAAAGAGTTAGTTATTGCTTTAAATGTATTTTTCTACCTCCACGTAGGATAATTTTGACTGAAAATTCTCTTCGATTGAAAATATTTAATGCCGTATATCAATTGTACTACGTTTCTATGGTTAAGACCATATAATATTATTCATATGTTAAATTTCAAACTTAATTAGGTATAACGTAATTTCAAAGGTTTACTGTAAGGACATAATCAAATAGTTATAATTTTATTAAAAGAAAGTTGGAATAGGTCTGCCACTTATAATGTTGAAATTTTATGTCGTCGAAGAAAATAAGATCTAACTCATTTTGCATTTTCACATAAAGTAAGAAAATAAATCTCGAGCTTAACTCAATTTTAAAACTTGGCTTAAGATATAAAGATTGTCTAAACGGTATTAAAGAGACCGTTCATTTCTTAAAGGGTGAATTTAGAACTCTTCACATAACTGATCATCTGGTGGGTGATCAATTATTTAATATGAGATTTCAATGTTAAAATAAAAATCGAGATGAGTTATTTTAGGGCTTACTCAACCCTCAAAATTAGTTCTAGAAATAAAAACTATGCAGGTCAAACAAAAAACAATTACCCATCTTTTAAAGAATTGATGTGAGACTCTTCAAAAGAATCGAAATCTGAGCACATAAAAATTTCCTAAATCACTACAAGGAAAATGTGAATTACATGGGGATTAGTATGAAAATTTGCAGGAAAATAAGTTTTCTGCAGATTTTCATACTAATCCCTAGGAAAGTCCCCATGTAATTCACACTTTTTTTTGTAGTGAATTAAATGAACTTTTTTCTTTTCACAAAATAAGAAAGTTCATTACATAAGGAGAAAGAAAAGAAAACACAACGGAACCCACATTTACAGTGTATTCGGTACGAATGAAAATATTTTTTATGAGTAATATTTTTTTTTAAATAAGTAGTTTTTTATTTATATTATGTTATTTGATAGGTATATAAAAAAATATTATTTTTAAAATATTTGTATATAATCTATGATAAATAATTAATATAGAAGATGGGGTAGCTAGAGGGTGGGGGTTGTGGGGATGGGCCAAGGATGTGGTAAAAATACAATCACTTGTAAAAAAGGATTTTTCTTATTTCTATTAAGGAAATCATTTTCCTTATTTTTAAGAATTTTTTTTTTTTAGAAAATATTTTTTGACTAATCAAATATGAAAAATCCTTTATTCTATTTGTGTGATAGATCCCCACAATGTATACTTGTAGTATTTATTTTATAATATAAGTATATTAATGATATGATCCTCTTTACTTATTTTATTTGTGAGAAAATGTATACATGTGTAATAACTAAAGTTGCACATGCTTTCTACTTTTCTTCTAGAACAATAATATATTGATTATTTTATTTATTCTCTGGTGGACTAAGATTAACGAAACCAAGGAAAAAGTCCTCAAACCACGGCTAGAGTCCTATCATATATTGGAATGGTCCCATTATTATCTTTGCCTACAATTATTATTTCTGAATTTCTACTATAATTTCAAGTTGATATATGAATTTATAATTAAGTATTTATAAATATTTAATAATTTTTTAATATATACATTAAGTAAAAATATATTGGAAATAACCTCTTTATCTTCATGAGTCAGTGATAAGATGCATACATGTACTCTATCCTCCCAGACTTCGCTGAGTAAATTTTACTGAATATGTTATTATTGTGTTGTTATTGTTATTGTTCACTGAATATGAATATAGATAAAAAAAAAAAAAATTATTAGATTTCCCTGAATTCATATATTGTACACTGACTCCGTCATTAAATCCCACCATCCCAAATAACTATTACGTGAAAATGACATTCGAAATTAACATGCACGTAAAAATGGGTTTGAATAATGCAAATGAAGTTGATTGGATAACAAGAAATTGAAGTCATTTTTCATTATTTGAAATAAATAAATAAAATGAGAAAATATAAGCATGCACACAAATTATCAAAGTTATATAAGAACACTTGTGAAGACACAAATTAATAAGTGTTTAATTGTGAAGACAAAAATTAATAAGTTTTTAATTTTTTGCCTCAACAGCTAATAGAATATGCTCCGAAGGCCAGGTCCAGTTTCATTTATTTTATTTTAGTTAATAATAGAGTGACAGCTCAATCTACTAATAATTTTAATAAATAATCAAAATTATAATTAATTAATTAATATATTTGTGATTATAAGTGATGAGTTGAAGGCTATAAAAGCAGCGTTTGGGGAGGGTACATTGGCACAGCAAACATGGCTAAAATAGCCTATCTTCTTACCACTCTTTTAGTGGCTTTAGTGTCACTTAGCTTCCCTTCAGAATGCAAAGCAAATTACTACTATACATCTCCACCCCCACCAACCCCAGTTTATAAGTATAAGTCTCCGCCACCACCAGTTTATAAGTACAAGTCACCACCACCACCACCTCCCGTCTATAAATCCCCACCACCACCCGTTTACAAGTATAAATCTCCACCACCACCTGTCTACAAGTACAAGTCTCCTCCACCACCACCTCCAGTTTACAAATACAAATCTCCACCACCACCTGTCTATAAGTACAAGTCTCCTCCACCACCACCTCCAGTTTACAAATACAAATCTCCACCACCACCTGTCTATAAGTACAAGTCTCCTCCACCACCACCTCCAGTTTACAAATACAAATCTCCACCACCACCTGTCTATAAGTACAAGTCTCCTCCACCACCACCTCCAGTTTATAAGTACAAATCTCCACCACCACCCGTATATAAGTATAAGTCTCCTCCACCACCACCCCCAGTTTACAAGTACAAATCTCCACCACCACCTGTCTATAAATACAAGTCTCCACCACCACCAACTCCGGTTTATAAGTATAAATCTCCACCACCACCGGTCTACAAGTACAAGTCTCCACCACCACCAACTCCAGTTTACAAGTACAAATCTCCACCACCACCTGTCTATAAATACAAGTCTCCACCACCACCAACTCCGGTTTATAAGTATAAATCTCCACCACCACCGGTCTACAAGTACAAGTCTCCACCACCACCAACTCCAGTTTACAAGTACAAATCTCCACCACCGCCTGTCTATAAGTACAAATCTCCACCACCACCAACTCCAGTTTACAAGTACAAATCTCCACCACCACCCGTTTATAAGTACAAGTCTCCCCCACCACCCGTCTACAAGTACAAGTCTCCACCACCACCCGTTTACAAATACAAGTCTCCACCACCTCCAGTCTACAAGTACAAATCTCCACCGCCACCCGTCTACAAGTACAAGTCTCCACCACCTCCAGTCTACAAGTACAAATCTCCACCGCCACCCGTCTACAAGTACAAGTCTCCACCACCTCCAGTCTACAAGTACAAATCTCCACCGCCACCTGTTTACAAGTACAAATCTCCTCCACCACCTCCTCCAGTTTACAAGTACAAGTCACCACCACCACCAGTTTACAAATACAAGTCACCACCACCACCCGTTTACAAATACAAATCACCCCCACCCCCAGTTCACAAGTCTCCAGCCCCTTACTATTACACTTCTCCACCTCCTCCTAGCCACTACTAGTTTCACACTATCGAACAAGGTAATATATTTGTCACAATTTTTGCATTATTTTTCTATATATCCTACTAAGCACATTGACTATAATATTTGATTAATGAAAACCATCTTTTTCTTTCATCTAATCCATAGATTATTCAATCCATGCAGGACCAGAGGAATAAGAAGGAACACCTCCATGGGATAAGAATAAATTGAAGAGTTTTAAAGAAGTAGTAATTAAAGCCACAAAGGGACATTTATCTTATTTTGTTTTGTGTTTTGTGCCATTGACTTCACGTAGTTGTATATTTCGTGAAGTTCTTGAAATATTTATATATTGGATGCATGTAATATATATTTATTTACGTACCATAGTCGTACATGTTTATGTGCTTTTGAATTTTGACTTCTTGAATTGTATAAGTCAAAGTACTTTGTAATAATAAGATCAATAAGTTCATTGAATAACATTGTTGTGATTTCCTTTTCCAAATTCCAAGAGATACTTCTCATTTTTATTTGCTTTCTGTTTTTGGAGGAATCTAAAAGACTTTTTTGTCGAGCTAGTGATAGGTTTTTTTATTAATTTGAGAAATGAGAAACATAAAGAGACAAGAAAACAAAAAAATCCTAGCTGGATTTGCATTAATTAATTAAGAGAAAAGGACTAGATGCATGTTATATATATAAACACTTTATTCCTAGTGGAAAGGTTGGTCCCAATTGTAGGAATAGGATTCTCTTCTCTCCTATTTTAGAGGTGTGTAAATGTGGAATCTCCACCCTATACAATTGCCCTAAACACTTCTATTATATATATATAATCATACTTAATAAAAATATAATTGATCCAAAATATTTTTACATGTACTTTAATTTGTTCACTTACTAAAATTATATTTTTATTGTTATTTGTCATTTTTAGTATATAAAAAGAATCATATTTTATTCTATGTATTAATTTGTTATTCCCAATATTATTTTTTAAGAACTAATATTTTTTAAAAGGATATACAAAGAATAAATATGACAGTAAATTAAACGGATCGAAGATATGATTAACTACTTTGAAATTACCATTGTCATATATGACCCTTAGAGAAGGTAATTGTCATTTATCTAGTTGAAAAGTTGTTCCTCTAACTTCTCCCAGTAACATTTGAAAGTCGTGATAAATAACTCTATGTTCAAAATTTATAATCAGAAGTGGATACAAAATTAAAAAATGACTTTAGTCCTAAACATTTTCACTAGCAAAAAAAACAACACAATATTATTACTTGATATGTTATTTGGATTGTCCGAGCATATGGAAGAAAAAAATGAAACTTTAGAAAATTATTAAAGAGAATTGAAGTAGCGCCTTGGTTGAATGCTTGTAGGGTTGATGATTTTAAAAGAGATATATGGATCGTGAGATATTTTATCTTGATCTTTATTATATTAGGCTACGAGATAAATCTTCATATCATTCTAAATTTGTTAGCTGGCAAACAATCGTGTCTTGGTTCAACTTCTTTTCAATTTCACTTATGAGGAGTAAAAAGACCAATACAATAAAAAGAACTACACAAATCGAAATTTACTTATTAAGACAAAGAATCAATCGAGAAAGAAAGGTTATATGTTTGATGTAGGCCCCTCCTCCAAACAAAAGAAAGTGTGTTCCAGAGAGGATTGCGTCAATTAAAACTTTATCTTTTGAGAGTGAGATAAAAAGAGAAAGGAGGAGGATTTCAATGTTTTCTTTAATATCTTTATATGAATGTTAAAACACATTTTTATTATTGAAAACATAACTATATGATCTTAATAATAGCATCATAAAAATATTATCACATACATTTTTTTTTCTAGATAAGACAACAAACAATCGCTAAAAAAATCATTACTCATTTGACAACGCGAGTCATTCTTGATAATTTAATTGTCAAAAATTAAAAGCTCTTTCAATGAATGCAATGACAATTAATATAAGCAAAACAATTTTCATTAAGCGAAATACAAGAAGATAATTTAAACGTTTTTTTTTGTCTGAACTAATCTTTTTAAAAGATCACAAAACCTATTTAAATCAAAGAATTTTTCATCAACGTCACGAACATCAATAATTTAACTTGCAAATTAATTTTACTAATAATTAAAGGACCAGAAGTGTAACTATCCCAAAACAAAGTTCAACAAAATATTTTTCAAAATATATTTTCTTTCTTGCTTTCACATTCCAAACAATATAAGGAAGTTTTCAATGTCTCTCGAATTTTCTATTATCATTTTCTTTTTCTTTTTCTTCACAAAGAAAATTTGTAAGAAGTTATTCACCTTTAAAATGGACCATGGGAAAAGAAGGTGGCCCAACCCAACAGAAAAACCTTATAAATTCTGCTTTTTAGTCTTTTTTTGTAAGTCCAAAATTATTACTCCACGATTTCAATTTATTTATCTTGATTATTAGTTGAATAGTCAGAAAATATTTTCTTTAAATATAATGTTTTTAAATATATAGATTTATTTTAAAAAGTTATAAATTCTTTAATTAAATTCACATCAAATATTATTTAGTCTAATCCTCTGAATCAAGTCAAGCAAATTGAAAGAGAAGAGTGCTACTCATCAAATTTGTAATTTTTTTTGAAGTTTGAATAGCTTTGGAATTGTTCTGTTGTCACGCTCAAAGAAGCAGTCCACAACCATAATCAATCAATAAAAATTATTTTTTAGTCTTGGAGTTATTTTTATTATGCTTAAAAAGAATTATATAAAAATATTATAGTACTCCTTAATTAATAGCTGAAGTGAGACATAACTATATATTAGTACTCCTTGATTAGGGGCGGCTCTAATGATTTAGGAAAAAATGAGTGCCTTAGGCCCCAAAATTTGAGGGCCTCAATTTTGTTTTTTAGCTATAATAGATTTTTTTAGAGAAAAAAAAAATCCTTGAGTACTATTTTAAGAAAATATAAACTTTCCGTATAACAGAAAAAATATAAAATTATTCGCTGAAGTTTTGACAATATTATGCGTCAAAAAAGATGTAGCTGATTAGTGATTATAAATTGAATAAGAATTATTTGGAAAAAAATATATTCACTCTATTTGTATATTTGCAAACGAAATATATAAATGGGTAAGAATATACGGGCTGTAGCCTCCATAGCAAATGAAGCTATGACTATAAAGTGCAATTATCAAAATTATTCCTATAGAACCTTATTATATCTTATTATGTTTGTTATGTATTTCTAAATTTTCTTCTTTTTTTTAATAATCAAAGGCTTCTGTTCAATTTTGGCTTTGGTCTACGTGTTTAAGCCGCCCATGTCCTTAATTAATTAATAGCTGAAGTGATGCATAACTAAATTATTATCAATCAATTAATTTCCTTCAAAATTCTCAATTCTTATAAATCATCTAGGGTTCACAAATTCTTTATCTCTATATGTGTTACTTAGTAATTTGAATTATTTTTTTTGACAGATTCAATCATATATAGTGCTACTTGGTCCCATATTGCATGTCTAGTACCTTGCAAAAATATATGTACCAAATTACTTGTCAATACAAAATTAAGATAAGAATTAATTCAAAAGTTATCTTAAAACTTTGTTTGGATAGTTGTTATGTATTGTTTCATAGTGTATTGTATTGTATCATAATGTATTGTTTAATAAATGCAATGTTTGGATGGATTGTATCATTCTCCGTTGTTATATAATGTCACATACATAATTTGAATGACAAACCGACAAGAAAAGCAGGATACAAAGTAGAACTACTATGAAAAAGTAGAATAAAAGATGAAATATGATTATTAAATAATAAATAAAGATAAAAAGGAGAAGAAAATATAAAGGTAACGACGCGATTACACCAAATCGGTCGTTACATAAAATAGGTCTTTTCGTTGTTACCTAACGATGAATTTAAATAAAACGATACAATATAATTTAAATAACAATTAAAATAGACATTGTATTTAAACTGATAATGCAACACAATACAACGGGTAACAATCATTCGAACAAGTTGTAAAACTAATTTTATTTAAATGTATAAATATTGTAAAGTTTCAAATAAATTCCTCCATTATTAATCTTGGTATTGATGGATACACATTAATAAAATGTATTAAAAACTCAAAAAGTAAATTAGTAAAAATATTTTTCTTAATTATATATTTTTAAAAGGTGGGTAAAAAAAGTGAATAAAATTTTTATTTTTTTCGAAAAATTCTGAAAAAATAGTAAGAAATTAATTAAAAAAAAACAAAAATATGAAAAAAAATATATATAATTAACACCAAAAAATTACCAATAAATCTAGTATAATATGAGAAGTATGGAATAGAAAAGACAATGGAGGGGCCATAATTAATTTAATTATTTAATGAAAGAACTATTTATGAGAAATTAAAATGGTCATCAATGAATTTTACCAACTTTTTCGTACCCATAAACATATATGGCTAAAATATGGTCAAGCCGCCGGGTCGGGGCACCACACCTCTTTAATAGTTTACTAAGGAGAAATTGACTTTCAAATTCAATTATTAACGAAAAATTACATAAATAAGATATCATAATCTCTAAAATTCTTTATCATTTAAAAAAGATTATATTAAACCTCTTTCGGATATATCTCTATCCCCTTTCGGATACATCCCTCCTCTCTCGAATATATCTCTATTCCCTCTCGGATACATCCCTCTTCTCTCGGATACATCCTTTTTCCCTCTTGGAGCATCCATCCGATTAAGTAATGTATCATTTCTAATGTATCGCACAACCAAGGAACAGTGGCGTACACATGATTTTTTGTAAGCGGTGTAAATATTTAAAAATTAATAAACAATAAATAGTTGATATAATAACATTATATTAATAAAAACTATTTAAAACATACTAAAAAAACGTAAGTCAAGTAAACTACTAAACTTTCCTCGGCGAGTTTTCATATTTTTAAATGTATTCATAATAGCTTCATTAGAGATAGTACTAAATATTCTAGTGCAATTGGTTTATTTTAGCCTAATTTGACTATAAATAATTGGCTTATTTTAGCCTAATTTGACTATAAATAGAAGGTTGAATGTTCAAATCGTTATAATATTAAACTTTTCTCTGAAAATGTCTCAAAAAATAAAAGATAAATCCGGCCTTACCGAGGCAAATGACCATTCCATTCGCGTTACAAACCAACAAGCGAAGAAGCTCAATTATTCACGCAGTGTCATTAATGTTATTTATAGGGATGTTTTTATTTTTTCAAATTTTTTTATATATATAATACTAAATTTTTTCAATGAAGCAGTGTCGGTCGACACCCTTTGACACAGGATGGGTCCGCCCCTGCCAAGGAATATATCCAAGAGCAATGAAAAATTTAAGACTTTTTTAATTGGAGATAAGATATAATTACCCCCAAATATATGGGATTTTTTAAGTTTTCCTTATATTAAAACACTCCTTTATAAAACAAAAAAAATACGAA